CCCCCCAGCCTGCCAGCATCTGTCGGACAGAACACGATTTCAGGGCCTTCTGGGGGAAAGTGGTGAACAATTTGCATGGATGTTGCCAGATTTGTTACTTTATTTTGGTTGTGTAGGTACTAATCTCCTAAAGCAGATATGTCAATATGTTGTCACTTTACTGGGACTGTGCTGCTAAGAAGCGTGATAAAGATAGTAGAAGCAGCAGGACTTCAAAGCAACCCAGTTGGTATATTTGTATATATTTTTATGTGCTGCGTATCAGAGGGAAGCTGTGCAATAGCTCTGCATGTGTCAGTAGGTCTGTTGCACCTTGGTGGAGGAGACAGGGTTTTGACAACCAGAAATGCTGCGCTAATGCCCAACAGAGGTCATTCCAAATGGCTGGAGCACACTCTCTCCCTTCCCTCCCTCCTGCCTTTGAGGCATTCATGGACTTTTTGCCTGAAATTGGAGCATAGGCTTTCAGAGAAAATGTCTCTGGACCTCCTGAGATTTTACATAGCTTCCAGCGTAATAACATTCACTTTCAGAGCAGTGTAAACTCTCTCAGGCGAGCATTTGCCACAATTAGTAACAAGTTTTTCAATTCCCTTCCCGGTTTTTGAGCGAGCAGGGAAGGGAGACTGTGACAGCAAAATTAAATGGAATGAACACAAAGGCAAAAGTCTATTATGTACTATACAAACTATGTAAACACCTCTTAGGAAGATCAGCCTTAACCACTGAAGTCTGCAGGCAGCACCAAACCAAGCTCTGACCACACAGTTAACCTTTAGCCAGGTCACAATAGGGACAGTTGGGACATTAAGCAATGGATGGAGCTCATACAGGTCTCTGACATTCTGTACTTGCTCATGTTTAAGCGTGTTTGCTTAAACATCCTATCTTCTGGGTCACATCCAACTATGAATCTCAGCTTCCTTCTGCATATTCAGTCAGTTCCAGATACATTGTTTTCCTTGCACCACATCAAAACTGTTCCCTGACCCTGTCCTTTGTTGTGACCATCTCCTCCTTGACATAGAATAGGTTTTTGCATGACTTCTCTCTCAGTTAAGCCTTTGGTCTACCATAACCCCTTTAATGATGAATGTATGGACCTTTTACACCAAGATAGAGAGAATGTATTTTTTCCTTGCTAGCACAACCCTCTTTGTTTCTTCCTACCCTCTTCTGCCTAAATATCTACCTGTCTTTTGTCTTTCTTCTGGTATCACTTTTCTGCTTCCTCCCTATACTGCTGTCCGTGGTAAAGCTTCAGCCACCCCTCTTCAGCTCCTGTATCAAAATGAGTTACCTTGCTGTCATTTCCAAAGGAGTTCTGATGGCGGAGGCCTTTAGTCCATCAGATCTCCCCATGTCTGTAGTTGCCTTTGCCTGCCACTGAAGGCTCCATAGGTCTTACCTGTTTGGCCTCGTCAGACAGGTAACCTGGAAACAAAACACAGTTTCATTGCCTGGTTTTTATTTCCTTAAAAGCAAGGGGAGATTTGTCTTGAGGATCCTTTTTAAAGGGCTGCTCCCCAGATCTGCACAAGGGACAGTAAATCCCCCTTATGCAAAATAGCCTTAATTGCCTCTGACTTGCAGGGCAGACCTGCCAGCACAACATGGCTGTACAATCAGACACTGCAAGTATAATTAGCTTCAATATGAGTAAAAGAGATAGATGAGGCTTCAGTTTCCCAGCTTGTTTTCCCTTGAGTGTGAAGCAGTGACCACAATGCTGCCAGGTGTCGGTTCCCAGCCTGTCCTGCTCTCTGGTGTGCAGTTTGGTGGGGCAGCAAGGGCTGAGCTTACAGACCAGCACCACTGAAGCAGCTCTGTTTTAGAAGGCTCTCTGCTCCGTTCTGAAGGAGCCTTCCCACCCCACCCCACGCTCAGCACCCTCCCTTAGGAAAGCCGTATGAGCCGAGTTGATACAAAGAGAAATTATGTAAGTAGCATCAGTGTGCAAAACTTCAGGGGAAGTCTCCTCTCCTTGGTTTTGGTGTAGGAAGCTGACAGAAGACTGCACGGTTTCCTAGGCACAGCTACCCTTCTTGCTATTTTAGTCTGGTGTTGAACAGCTTTTCAGGGAAAAGAGCTAACAGATAGGCTCCCAGCCTGTGCCACTGCTGTGTGCCTGTGTCTTCCCCCAGCACATTGCTGATACGGTTTTAACAGCAACTGGTGCAGAGCCTCATGAAAAGTGGTCCAGAGATTCAATAGGAGGCAACATCTACATTTCTGCCCTTCCTAGACAAACTCCTGACCCCTGATGATTCAGACAAATTATGTAGGGGGGGTTTAACATTGAGGACTTTTCTAATTGTTCATTCACCTTACACTTTGTGATTCAAGTATAAACCAAAGGAGATAATATAAATTGTGCCCATTTATTTAGAGTATGTGAGGAGATGCTCGTGCTCTCTTTTCACATCTTCTAAATTACATTTTATGTTCAAACAGTTAATACTCTGGGTCCTACAGATGGCTCAGAAGGAGAAATGGGACAGTTAGCAAACCCTAGGAGGGAGAAAGGATCTTTTAAAGATAGCCGAAGAATTTCAAGATTACTGCGTTTTTTGTGCTGTCAGTTGAAACCAGGAATGGGGACAAATTCTGTGCAATTCCATCTGCTCCTGAAGTTAGTACCTGAAATTCAGAAGACACCTTGTGTGATTGATGTACTGCCAGATAATGTGAATTGACAGCCTTTCTGTACTGCTGTGGCATTCAGGTACCCTTTGGCATGTTGATTTAGTATCTTCAGTCATCAAAGAAACTATGTAGGAAAACAGAAGGAAATTGAGCAACACAGAATCCCAGACTGAGATCCCGAGAAACCTGGACCTCATTTGGTGCTGAGTTGGAGGCCAGGGTGCTGGGAAAGAGGAGGTCAGGGTGGGATCACAGAATCACAGAATGGTTAGAGTTGGAAGGGACCTTAAAGCTCATCTAGTCCCAACCCACTTATGGTTCTTTGTCTCTCTTTCTCTTGCCTGGCAATAATGTCGTGGTTTGGGCCCAACACAACAACAAAGAACAGGTCCTGTGGCTGCTCACTCAGGTCCCCACACACACACTCTGGGGTGAGGAGGACAAAGCTCCTGGGTTGAGACAAAGGACAAGGAGGGATCTTCACCAGTTAAGGTCCCAGGAAAAACAGACTCAACTTGGGGAAAAAATAATAATTGAATTTCACGCTAATCAAACACACAGGACACACACAACACACAGAGCAGGGCTTGCATATGTTACCCCCCCCCTCCCTTCTTCCCGGGCCCAAATCCCTTTGTTCCCGGTTTCTCACCCTCCTTCCCCACATCGGCACAGGGGATGGGGTTGAGAGTCACTGCACAGGCAGGTGGTTCCTGCTGCTTCTTCCTCCTCAGGAAGAAGGATTCCTTACAGCTTCCCCACGGGTCCCTCCCATGGCAGATCCTCCACCAGCCTCTCCTCCAGGAGCCCTTCCCACCAGCCCGGAGCTGCTCCAGCGCTGCCCGCAGAGTCATGGGGGCTTTGAGAACAGGCACCTCCCCTGGCCTGGGGGCTTCCACAGCTGCACCAGCTGAGGCCACAGGCAGCAAATCCTCACTGGCCAAGTTCACCTCTCCTGACACCCCCAGGGAATGTTCCCCACGTTCCTCCACACGTGCAGGGGCAGAGCTGCCATCTCACCATGGGCTGCAGGGAAACTGCTTGGGCACCTTCTTCCCCTTCTTTCTCACCAACCACCAGCACCCTCTCCTTCCCCTGCACAGCTCTTCTCCTCTAAGTGCTTCTCTGCCCAGGTATTTCATATGTTAATGGCAGATGTTCATCTATTGTCCCTCTGATGGCTCCTTGGCTGGGCTTGGAGCAGGGGCAGCTTCTCAGCTTCTTACCAGAGCCCCTGCTGGGGCCCTTCCCCTGCTACCAAAAAAACCACCAAACCAGAACACCCCTGCCATGGGCAAGGATACCTCCCACTAGACCAGGTTGCTCAGAGCCCCATCCAACCTGGCCCTGGACACTTCCAGGGATGGGGCATGTCCAAGACTAACCACAAAGTCAGTACCAAAACAAACTCGTAACTGCTGCTGCTCATCCCAATGCTTTAGGTGTCTAATGCCTTACCAGCACTTAGTGTTCCCTCCATAAAAGATTTTCAGAGCCATCAGATTGCTCCTGTAGTTTTGGTGTGTGCAGTATTACTTTTCCAGACACGCTTACACATACCTATCAATCTATGATTTGTAACATCATCATATTGCAGAGAAAATCAAGGTTTTAAAGAAACATGTAAAAGCCTGGCAAATTAAAAACCACTTATTTTGTGTCTCCTGATTGATCACAGATACATCTGACTGTGTTTACTAAGTGTTTTGTGAGAGCAGATTGTTTACAACACTTTAGATTTAGAAATGGTCCTCCATTTATAGTTTCCACTTCTGGCTGAAATAGGAAGGCTGTCACTGACTTTTTAGCTCAGCACAGAAGGGATCTCTCTCACCTCTGCTGAGGTGAACTGCAAAACAAGTATCCTTTCCTACAGTATGTCTCTGCTCTGTTGTTCAGCTGTAACCTCTCAAACCTGTTGCCTCCTAGGGCTCTTGTACCAGGAATATCGAGATAAATCTACACGCCAGGAGATTGAAACCAGAAGACTCCAGGATTCACAGACTGACCCCAAGGAGAGTTCACCCAGTGAGGAAACCCCATCTGAAGCAGAACCTTCAAGTACAATTGAAAGCAAAGGTCCATCACAAATCAGCTTGCTGAGGAACTCCAACTCCAGGTTCAACTTATGGCAGGATCTCCCTGAGATCCAGAGCAGTGGGATCCTCAGCATCCTCCAGCCAGATGAGATCAAACTGCAGGAGGTAATGGGGGGAAGGTGGAGTGTTTCTTAACTGGGTTGCTGCTTAAAAGAATGAGAGTGAATTAAGTCACATGATCGAGATTTTAAAATTAAAAGCTTCATAGCAGTCACAGACAAGCCTTGCCCTGCTGTGTTGCACTGGTTAGCACCACTCACTTTTTTTGAAACTCCAGGTGTTCTATATGCTATTGCTGCTGGACATTTCTGTAGCAGAAAAGAATCTCTTCTCCCTTTTCTGATTCAGTGTTAGGAACAGTTTATAAAGGAAAGGAAGGACAATGAAGAGGCTATTGCAGTAGAGCTTTTGATTTTCCTCTTCTGAAGTGGCTAACTTCCACCAGAAATCTTAGAAGAATCCAGTCAGTAACTGTAATCTGCTATAAATATGATGGCATTGATGGAAAGAGATGGAGATTGCTGAACTTCCTTATTTTTACGTTGTTACTTGGAGTCTTGTACAAAACAGTAAAAAATGATGACAGGTATACTTGAGTTTTAGCCATGTAGGGCAGTGGTGTGGCTGTGTAAGGGTCACAAGCTGTTCATTCACAGGACTGCAGCAAACAGGGAACAGAGCAGGCAGGGGAGCTGCTGCGATTACTGCAAACATCAGTCACACAACAGTTTACGACTGGTCATTATTTTGGATCGTGGGGAGCGTGAGCGCTTGGTCAGCGTGTAGTGCTGCGGTTGTACCAGCAGTTGTCCCGTGGAGCCCTGTGCCGTTGCTGGGTGTTGTGCTACCAGCACTGGCCCTCCAGAGGCTCCCTCCTGCCAGTCCTGCTACTTCAGGGCTGCTGCGGGGAGGCTTTGTGGCCGTGTCTGCTCAGTCCTGCTCGCCAGGCTGTCCCCTGAGTGCTGCCAACCATCTCGAGGTGTGAGCAGTTCCTCCCTGAGCTGACTTGGATTTGCACAACCAGCATCAACAAGCCCTGCACAGGCAGTGCCACCCTAGTCCTGACAGAGGTTGTACCTCAAGGGCAGCTGCTGCCCCGCAGGGTGTGATGGACTAGTTGGGTCACTGACAGCCAGGGGTGCACAGGCAGCTTGGGCTGGCAAGCACAGCTCATTTGTGTGTCAGAGGTGAAGATGGATAACAGGATTTGTTGCATTGCCCTGTTTTTCTTCTGCTCTGGTTGTTTCCCCATTAGAGGTGTTCTGTTTACTTGGCAAAACAAGGTACTTCCAACTGCTGGTGTTACAAATGCAGCCCAACACCTGAAACATCACATTCTTTCTGCTTCAAAATGAAGAGCCTTTTACAGAGAAACATTTGCTTTAAAAGTTTGCATTACAGATTTAAAAATCTGCCATTTCTGTTGAGTTCCAGTCACTACCTGTGCTTTAAGGAAAAAAAAAATATCTCTGTGCTGCTAAACCCCAACAAGAAGTGTGCTGAATTTTCATCTCTCTGCTTAAAGAACAAGAGAAACAAAGCAGTTGGAGGTGGGACAGTGCTGCCTTGACAAAGTTCTGTGGTTTCCCTTCGTGTGAGTTTGTCAGAGCTGAAATTTTCTTCCTGTTTGTTCCAGGATTAGCACAGTAAAAGGTTATAAAATTGTTCAAAGCCAGAAATCTGTGAAATTGGCTGAACACTGAGTTGGTAAAGTGGAGAATTAGTTTTGTGAGGAGAGTCAGGGATAGAAAACAAGGAGGGCTGGAGGAATCACTGAGGCAGTTAAAGAGATGATGTGGAGTTCAGTCTTGCTATAAGCAATCCCAGCTCCTGCAGTGCTGGAACTGTACTCCTGTTGGATATGAACTGGGAGTGTGAGCTCTACACAAGAGCTTGATTAAGTGAATATCAAGCAGTCAGCTTCAAGAGTGAGGAGCGGAGAAATTTACCTGAAGTACAGGGGAGCAGAAAGTCTGGAGTAAATGTCTTGTGGACAAAATTGTACCTTTCTGACCCACTTTAGCTTTAAAGCTGTGCTAGGACTACAAGAGCTTGTAAGTCTCTTGTGCTGGACTCTGTGCTTCTGGCAGGTGGGAGTCAGACTGACGTAGTGAAGGCAGCCAGGTCTGGGCACTGATCACAGCCGGTGCCTTGGCATCAGCTCAGAGCAACGTCCCCTATAGACCAGACCAGAATTCCTCCTCCTTACCTGCTGGTTCTTGTGCAAAGCAGGACTAATTGGAACGGGTATTTCCAATCTATACAATAAAGCATCATCTTGTCTCAGTAGGAAGGTTTACTTACCTTGTCTTTGGTGACAATTTTTGGTCTCCTAAATTTCCTTCTTCCTTAGGCTTCTATTCTCTTTTCCTCAGTCTCTCTGCCAAAAGATAAGCAATGAAAATTATTAGTATAGCTTTTATGTGACTGTGAGATGGCATGAAGTTAAGGGCCCAGAGGACTGATGGAACAGTGTTGGTCGTTGTTGCGAGCCAAGATCCCCAGCAGCAACAGGCCCCCTGGCATTGCCTGGCAACAGTCATATTTCCAAGAGATCCTTTCAGACTATTTGTAGACTCAGGAAGACAGCATTACATCAACTGACATTTAGTTCCATTTATTTTTTTTTCCTAGTTATTTTTGCAATTCTGGTACCAGAAGCTCAGGCTCTTTTTTGTAGTGCCTGCTCAGAGCTAGCAGAGTTCAGTTATTCCATGGAGATCACAAAATTCCATTGCATGGTTGGACGTTTAGGCAGTTCACAGCTCATACTTCTCATTCAGAAGGGAGTCTGAGTTGCTTGGAGAAGGCATCAGAGTATCTTGGGTCTGCAGAGGACCAGCTAGATCTCCCTGGTGACTCAAGAAACTTGTGCCTTGCACATGTGGTGGTGAACACTTCCAGAAGCTTGTCTCCATCAGTGGAGATGTTCTATACATTCCTGGAAATTCCTGTAAGTGGGAATCCTGTTCACTGATAGTTTCACTCTGGATTTCATTATTTCTTTAACATGGCATGCACTCTCATGCCTGTGCAGGTCTGGCACGCCCCCAGTGTGGTGAACAGCAAGCAAACACAAATTAATTTATTCCAACATAGGCAGAGGGGATTCTGCAGATCAGGAAGCAACCTTCTAGATGAAGCAAGTTGCCTGAAGGTCTAGAGGCTGTGGTAGGGTGGCAGGTGTACATCTTGGCTCCCAGGGCCATCCTGCCGCTGAAGACCTGGTAGAAAAGTATATCCTGGCTTGGAGGTTTAGAAAGCTGCAGTGCAAAATGACTAGTGGTCCCCAAGATATCTGGAAGGACAGGCTGTCCCAGTATGTCCTGTCTTATTATTTTTTGTAGCTTTATCTATCTCCACTTCTCCTCTCATTTATCAAATAAAATTATGCAATTAAAGCTGTAAAAGGTGCATTAGGACCTAACCAGTCATGCAGAGAGAGAGTCTCCCTCTCAGGTTCGCCATGTGTCCTGGTGAAGCTGTTGAGAGAAGCCAAGCTGATAATCGTCCAGTTTTCTCATTGGGAATCCTGCCTTCAAAAAAGCCAACGTCCTCTTCTTCCTTAAACACCAGCTGTTCCACATACACCCACTAAGAACATTCATGGCTACCCACACACTTTGTTCTGTCCCGCTTCTGGGCTGTGCAAGCATGACCTTCTCTGGTGCAGGAAAGGACCACCTGTCTGACTTCACTGCCCACTGGGAGTATTTCCTTGGCTACCAACCCTGCTAAGAGCTGAAATGTAATATCAACCGGTATTTTAGCAGCTCTGGATTGAGTAACAATCCCTTCAAGGTCAGGCTTGATGGGACTCTAAGCAATCTGGTCTAGTTGGAGATGTCCCTGCTTATTGTAGGGGGGTTGGACTAGGTGATCTTTATAGGTTCCCTCCAACCCAAAGCATTTGATTCTACTATTCTATTCTATGATTCTTTCTGTGCCTTCCTCCCAGATCTTGGACTGCACCAAGTGGCAAGGAATATAAGACAGGTCTCTGCATTTGGGGTCCTTCAGTGATGCATAGAGGTATTTCCAGAAAAAGGCCAGAATTGGAGAGTTTCAAATAATTTCTTTTAAAAGAAAAAAAAAAGCCACCAACCCCCTCCCAGAAAAAAAGAACTAAAAAGAGAAGAACAACCAAGCCACGAGTCAGACAATTTGGAAGATATTTTTCCATATGCACAACACAAAAAGTTCTGCACATACCTGCTGCTCCGTTGGGTCTCCCTGGCTGTATCTGGGCCCCTGCAGCTCCTGGGAGGCAGCAGAGCTCCAGGACTTGCACCCAGAGCACTCAGCCTGCTCCCACCCTCTCCAGGGTGCAGCAGAGCAGCTGTGCACAGCAGGGGAGCTGGTTCTCCTGGGTGGAAGCAGCTTTACAGTCAAGAGAGAATTGCACTGAGCTACCAGAAGGGTCCTATTTCAGTAGTGGCAGCATGGGTCAGCCCCAGGAAGAGGAGTCCAAGACACATCTTCATCAAGAGATGTATCAAGGATCTAATGACTTTTCACCATATTGAAGCCTTTGTGATTAATCTTACTTCAACTAACAGCTTCAGTAGTTGTGTAAACAGTCACCTTTTTTTTCAACCTCTGAACAAAGACAGCTGGAGAGTAAGTGAGGTCTGTGTGGTCATAGTGGACTGTCCCTGCAGCTCCTGCTGTGGGCAGAAGGTTTTATCTCCTTACCTCATTGACTTTTGCTTTATCTCTGATCCAAACCATCAATTTGTCTTCCTGCTTCCCCAGACCACATCCCTGGCCTGAGGAAGCCAGGCTTTGCACCAGAGACTTCTCTTTTGACAGGGAAATCAAGGGCTGGAATTTGGAGATTGCTTACGGTTCACAGTAGTAATTGAGGGCTACTGTGTCTTGTCTTGGTGAATTGGACCAGAAAAGGGAGGAGCCCATGAAATACTTTTATCTGTGCATCTGCACAAAATCAGAGCACTTACAGATACTGAGAAGAAGAGAGAGAATTCTCCTGGAGAGAGTCAATGGCAGGAATTGTGGTCAGACAACTTAGGAGAGAGACAGAAGGAGCCAGGGCTGATGGCTGAGGGAGCAAATCTTACCCGTTCCCATCACTGTCCTGTGTAGCACACAGCAAATGCCATGGGGCTGACCTCTCCATGCTCCAGGCCTGCAGGGTGGGTGAGGGCCATGTCCATTGCTATGTGCAGCACAGACCGTCTCATTCCAGCTGCCTGTGCCCCTCTATAGAATAGAAGGCACCTACTGATTTTCTGCTTTGGGATTCTCCCCCAGGCCATGTTTGAGCTGGTTACTTCCGAAGCCTCCTATTACAAGAGCCTCAATCTGCTGGTGTCTCACTTCATGGAGAACGAACGTCTGAAGAAGATCCTACACCAGTCTGAGGCACACATCCTCTTCTCCAATGTCCTGGATGTCATGGCTGTCAGTGAGCGGTGAGACAACTGCTGCTGAATGTTTGCCCAGCTGAGGGGCATCATGGTAGCTGTAGAGGGATGGAGGGTCTGGCTAGGGACACTCTGCTACCCACTGCTTCCACAGATCCCGTGGACACATTCATTGCTTTGAACCCCAAGGGCTTCTTCTGCAAATTACCTGGGACAGACAGGTCACAATTAATATGAGCTCTGGGTTTCTCTTCTAGTTTTCTGTTGGATCTGGAGCAGCGGGTGGAGGAGAATATTGTGATCTCGGACATATGCGATATTGTTCACCAGCACACGGTCAACCACTTCTCTGTGTACATCACCTATGTCTCCAACCAGACCTACCAGGAGAGAGCCTACAAGCAGCTTCTGTGAGTTCCAGTGCTCAATGCTAAATGGTTTTGTGGAATTCCATAGGCCACAGCTTTAGCTGCAGTGTTGATGTACCTGTGAGATAGGTAGTACAGAGCAGGATTTCCCATGTCACTGCTTTTTCGTGGAACCTTTAAAAACAAAACACAATTAAAAGGCTTTATAAGTAAGGGTGGAGTGACAGAGTATGCAGGTAACATACCAAGAAAATTCAGAGCCAGCACTTCCCAACTGTGGGGAACATTTGTGGTGCACACAAGGACACACTCGTGAAATGTACATATTTTTAAATTGCAAGTAGAGGCAAGGTTGAAAGGCCAAGAATATAACACAGATCTCTGGTGACAAGAACAGCCACTTATTTTCCCGATCTTCTCAGCAAGGGGTTTGACCTTCCCAAAGTTGAGAGTAAATAATTTTTTTTCAGAATTAAAAAAAAAATAAATCTTAAAAAGAAACAAAAAATTAAAACACTCTTTTATTCATATCCTGGTGTTATCCAGACAGATGTTACCTGAAGCCTGAGGAGATAATCCAAGATATTTTTGAAATATTTTTCAATTTTAGCAAGTCTTTTGGTCCGGTAGGAATTCCCTTACACCAGCTCTAAACAAAGAGTGCCCTCCAAGCTTGTCTTTGAGCAGGAGAATTAATTTTTCTTTAGTTACAACGTCCTGGATTCTTTCAGGCCAGTACATTGCACGTGCTGTGCTATATTTCCTCCCCATAGCAGTAGCTGGTTCAGGGAGGTGTAGCAAGCCCTAATCCTTTCCTTTCTCTGCTCTCCAGCTTTTTGAGGCAAAACCCAAACCTAACACTTTGAGGGGCCTCTGTTGAGTGTAGCCAAATGTCCTCTCCAAAAGGAGGGTTCTGCAGGGCTTCCTTCAGTCAGAGGTGAGCAATATTGCTGCCAAATATGAACAGTTTGCCTGGAGTCATCAGCTAAACACTCAGAAGGGAAGCAGCAAAGGGCTGGATTACTTGAGCTTGAAAAGGGCCTGTTGGAGGTGGGGGTATTCCTACCTGCTAGTGTAGAGAGCAGCAATACTTTTAGTCTGTGGGAGAACATAAAATAAGTTCCAAAGCACAGAGTCACTTCCACATGCTCCTAGAGCTGGCACAAGCATTTTGCAGCACTGGGCTGACCTGGCAGCCTGAGGAGTGTCACTGTTACCCGTTTGACTGTTCCTCAGACACACTCAGGTCGGTTCTGCTGAGGCTATGGTGAGTCACACTGTCACACAAGCACCTGCTGAAGCAAGGAAAAGCACTTACAAAGGCTGCTCTTGGGTCGTTGTGAGTCACACAAAGTAAAGACAGGTTTTGCCTAGTTAGCAATGGTTTCTCATCCATGCTCTTGCTGGTAGCCAGGACTCCAGCAGCGTAAGCCCTCCCTGGGTTCCCGCAGCTGCCAAGAGACCTTGTCTGTGCCCACAGCAGCTGGGGCTGCTCTGTGCAGCTGTGACTGTGGCCCAGCAGAGCCCTCATCTGCTGTCAACACCAGCGGCGAAGGCCTGGGCACGGCCCCTGCTCTTCTCAGAGCAGACAACAATCTCCATCCTCCAGCTAAGCAAGCAGGAGTAGCCAAGATTAAGCTGTCTGCGGCTTGTCTTGTTTTTATGGCTGTGTGAATTCCACCTTGTCACAAACTTCCAACTGTGTAAAAATATATAATTATGCCTCTGACTCATCTACTTGGACACAAACCCCATTTACACACACCTACGCACGCAGCGTATGCTGCTGAGCTGGATGTGCTACACATGTGAACACTACCATGCCTTGTACATTGAAAGTCTATTTTTTCCCTCCCCCAACACTATAAATAGTTCTAGATTTAAACCAAAATACACCTAGAGGCATTCAGTCCCCTCTTACCTCTTCCTGGGAGAGGCCAGGCAGACACTATCTCTCTCTGAGACTGAGCTGCATTTGGGTCACAAGCCACACACCAGAGTCACAGGCAGGGCAGCACTCACAGCTCTCACCTCCTCTGTTTCTCCTCACAGCCAGGACAAGCCAGCTTTCCGGGAAGTGATCTCTCAGCTGGAGCTGGATCCCAAGTGCAAAGGCCTGTCGTTTTCTTCCTTTCTGATTCTGCCATTTCAAAGGATCACTCGGCTCAAGCTGCTGGTACAGGTAGAGTTTTCTTCTCTCTCTCTCTCTCTTATGAAGGTCTTCTGGATCAGAGACAGCCAAGATCTGGAGCTGGATGAAGCATTTATATGGAGTCAGACATTCTCAATAACACTGGAAAAGAGATTTCAGTCACTCTGAAGCTTTCCTCAAATTATTGTTGAATTTGCCAGGTAGCTTTTACCGAGCAAAAGAGTTGGGGAGGAATTTTATGGAGCTGCTAGAAGGTGTAACAACAGGCCATTAATCCAGATGCCTGGTCATTACGATGCTGACACACAGATGCACTGTGGAGAACATCTGCAGGACATGGAAATGCTCCATGTGTAATGCCCAGCATCATGGTGGCTTGGACCTCCCCTCTTTACTTTGCCAGTTCATCTGAGCAACATGCCGAAGGACATGCTTCTGGGGACAAGGAAGCAGCCCCATCCCAAATGGGTTTACCCGTTGGGATACCAGCAGCACTGGCAGTTAGTGCCAGCTCTAGCTGGTGTTACTTATTTGTTTATTTGTATCAAATAGGAGCCTGCCTGCAATAGTTCTTTTTTTAGGTCAGGTGGGAACAGGCATGAATGAAAAAGAGAAACTGGGAAGTGAGAGTCAATATGATCTGTCACCTGTCCTGTAATTAGGCTGATGGCCGGAATAAGTAAAGCTAGCAAAGCCCTTTCTGTACTGTCAGATTAGGATCAGAGTTGACATAGTCTTTCCTCCCCTGCAGAATATTCTGAAGAAAGTGGAAGAGAAGTCTGACAGGGAGACCACTGCCCTGGAAGCACATAAAGAACTGGAAACAGTAAGTGTGAATGAGCTAACTGAAGATAAAACCATTGTGCTCGTTTCCCTCCTCCTCAGAGAAGACCTGCACACTGTATTTACTCCTGGAGCCGTCCCTGTGAATCCTGTCACTGTCTTTTTTTTAAGTCTTTCTTGCTGTCAAGGATGGACCAATCTAGCAGCACTGGGAAGTCAGGGATGAGGAGTCCCCTTGCTAACAGCAGATTGCATGTTTCCACCGTAGGAAAGGGCAGAGAGAAGGTTTTCCCCTTGGATCTTCAAGGATGCAATTTGTTTTTGCAGGTAGCTGAAGGTGATGGATGCTGTTGAGAGATGTAATGAGCTGAGACAGGCAGTGTTTGACAGCTGTGTCAGGTTTTCTCCAATACAACACACCTCTTCCTCTGACCAAAGTAACAGTTTCTTAATGAAGATGTCAAGCCTGCTTTTAGCTATCTTCCCTGCAGTTGGTAGGTAGGTGAGATGTTCAGTTGTGCTGATTCCTG